AAGTATCTGTCTACAACCCCATCACAAACTCTTAATGAAAAGCTGGGAGCTGAAGTCCTAACGTTCTCCTTTTGCCGTCTCTCACATGAGGAGTAAGGAAGAGCCTTCAAGTGTAAACGCTGAGCTCTATCTACTCTAGGAGAAAAAAGAAAAAATCACCACTGTAAAGGTTTCAGTTGACGCATGAGGTAAGTAGTACTAGTCATGTTATTTGAGATCTTGTAGGCAATGGAGCACAATGCAGGGTTTCTCCACGTGGCATCGTCATCTCCAGATGCTGGAAGCGACGGGAAGGAAGACACCCAGGCAGTGCCTGGACCAGGTCCTGCTGGCCCAGAGATGAGCCCTTGATAGGGGATTGATTCCTCTGCAGAAATCAAGTGCTACTTAAAATCAAATTTTGAAAAGTAAGAGAAAAAAGAAATTATTAAAGAGAAATGAAGAAATTATTAAAAGAGATATCATTAAAGAGTCAGAAGAGGAAAATGAGTAAGTGCATGAGTCAGGAAGGTATAAAAGCAAATGTTACCACAGCCCCCCAATACGCGCACACACACACACACACACACACACACACACACACACTCATTCTGTACACACAAAAAAAAGCTTACATATCCCTGAATTCTCACTTTTCAAATTCTCAGAGTGATTTAACAGAGTTCAGTCTCTTTTATTCTTCACATTTTTAAGACTACCAAAATCACACCTGGCATGATAGGATCTGTAAATCACCTGTGTGAAGACGGCTGCATGCAAACTCCATATTGAACAGGACAGATTCTAAAACTACCCAAGTTGTTTTAAGGTTTAAAGGGAAAAAGTAGGTTACACTTTTACCCATAAAAGTCTGGATGACTCAGAGTTTAATAATAGGATACAGAAGCTTTCATCCCTAGGTCACTGATTCGAGGGTGACTATGGTAGACAGTCATTCTAGGACATTACCATCTAGCAGCTGTTTTGTTCACAAACTGCAGAAGAAATGTGTTGCTTGTCTCTATTAATACTCATTTGACAGGTGTATACATTCCAAGTCATGCATCTGCCAATCGCGAGCACTTTGAAGCAGAGTGATGAAAGCTGCAACAGCCCTTACCTTTAGAAAGCCCTTAGGATGCCCAATTCTCTTCTCTCTTTACGTAAAGGACTAAATATTAATATTTCACATCTTAACAGATTTTACTGTCTCAAAGCAAAATCATAAAAGAAAGATACCTGTGGAGGATTTTTTGAAATGAGCGCAATATCATTCTATGAAACAAGGAAAGCAACAATCTTTCCTCCTAGAAAACGTGGTAAAGGCCAAACCAGCTGAGGTCAGTACTCAGAATGGCCCTGCGACCTGCAGGAGACTGCAGACATCCCTGGGACTGTGCGCTCTAAGCCATGGTCATACGTGCACACACAGCTTACTAGGAAACGTACTTCTAAAATTTATGTACCAAAGATTTATGTACCCAGGCAACACAAACCAGTTAAACTCCCACTACCTCCGTCATGGTACTCTACAGCCTTTAAGTAACTCCCCTATGTAAGTGCCAAAGATTATAATGTATCAGTTCAGTCCTCCACCATGGCAACTGGAAACTGGATGGTACCTATCGGCCAGTAAAGTCATTCCACTAAGAAGGATTCTCCAACAGCCCCAGTCACAGTGATAACTGCAGAAGAATTATGTTTTGAAAAACTAAAACTATTATTTTTAAAACACAATCTGGAGGTATTTAAGTCACCACCCTGCTATGTCTGCAATGAAATAATGAAGACACCTATATCTATCAGCCTTTGCCACATATTCAGTCCAGGGCACTAATGGAAATAAGATTTATGATCTAAAAACCTGCATTCCTGTCTTCCAACTTTGTACCTTCTTTGAAAGAACTCAGCATCTTCTTTTAGAAGAATATTAATTTAACCAGGCAATATTCCAACTCACATTTAGTATGCATTTTTAATGTTTGCATAAAATGCTTAACAGGGACTCTGCTTTGTTTTCTTAAATGATGTTAAATAATACACTAACTATTTGGCACAGATCCAAAAGATGATGAAAAAAGTCACTAATAACTTTTTATTTCAAATATATCATTTTACTTTAAAAGGTCTTAAAAGAGTCTTGCACGTTCAAGCTTGACAGATTTACTTCTGTCAAAACCAAAATGCCTTATAAAATGAGAAAGAGGGCACTCTCCATGCCCTTTGACCTAGTTCAGTAATGCAACAAAACAGTTGATTTGTTGTCAAACTAGGCCTGCAGTTTGATTTTGTTTTGCTTTAGAATTGGTGTGTCATTACAGATCATGGTCTGCAATCCCATTTCATTGATGAGGAAATTAAGACACAGAGAGGTTAAGTGATGTGGAAACACAGACTCTAAGTAGAAGGGACCTAATCATTAACACAGATCAGAATTATAACCACAGGCCTAGTTTTATCCAAGTGAAAGAAATGCCATTTTTGTATAAGCTGAAAGTTTGTTTAAAAACTCTTTAATTCTAAGTTTAATAACAAACTTAGCAAACCTATTATTTTTGTCTACTTTAAGTCTTTGTCTTTTGTCTTAAACATCGAGAATCTCAGAGTAGAATTCAGTGCTCAAGCAGATCACCTCCTTCTAGCCGTGGTTTCTGGGGGCAGTTTCATCCTCTCTTTGTCGCTCAGCTCTTCATAAACTCAATAACTAATTAGTTGAGCATCTGTATGTGTCAGACAACATTCTAGGTGCTAAAGCCACAGCAGGGAACAAATCATGTGAAAACTCCTGTCTTCATGGAAATCAACTGCATAAGTACAAGGCAGAGAATTTTATCACTCGGGAGAAAATAAATAGCTGGAAAGGAGATCTAGAGTGGGGGGTGAGGCTCAACTTTGGGTGACCACCAAACAGGTGGTCAGTGAAGGTCACACAGGTGACATCTGCATACAGACCTGAGAGGGAGAAGGGGAAGGAGTAAGCAAGGGAATGGGGGGTGGGGGGGACTCCAGGGGGATAGTCCAGGCTCAAGGAACAACACACACAAAGCCCTGAAATGGAAGCATGTCTGGCCTGCATGATTCATCTTTTTGTTGTTGTTTATTATTTCAAATAAAGTGCATTTTTTCTTTATTGAAATTCTGCCAAATACTTCAGAAGAAGGTCAGGAACATACATACAATCCTAAATACTGCCGACAACCTTCAGATACTACGTTACTTCAGAGGAGCTTTTCCCAGTTGTGCATGGCAATGATTCTTCACTCATCTTGCCACCCTCCACTCCCCACCATTCCTTCTCTTTCTCCACTGGAGATCAAAACACTGACTTCCTAAAACTAACTTATGGTGGCAAAAAAAATTTTGCTTTGGGGAAAGGGCCCACCTTAAAGGAATCAAACTGCAGAGTACCCCAACCTATAATGACCACCTCCCTTGAACTTCTAAACCCACTGCATCTGTATCCAGCCCTTAAGAGGAAGTGCTACATGATATTGTTACTCCGCTTACATCTTATTATATGCTACCTTGTATTGTTCTTGTGTACACACCTTGTATACACACAAGGGGACTTCCTTGGAGCAGGGCCCATACCTTGGGAATGTCTGAATCCCACCACAGGGCTTTGCACATGGATGGCACCGGTATCTGTTGGGCTGTTTGACAGTGCTGTCATAGAAACTGACACGATGGGCAGCAGGCTTTCCTCCTTTTTCAAGCATCTGTCTGCCGATAACGCATGAAAGAGACATCATAGTCTCTCACAGGCGTTTGGATAATCTCAGCCATCTTGGCCAAGTCACTGTTTGTGTAACATTCCATTCTGTCTAAATTCCCCTTTGCGTTTGCCGTTGGGCACGTTACACACTTTCAGTCTAGACACAAGCATGGATTAGCCACAATACACAGAGCAACTGCACCATGTGAAATCCTCTTCAGTTCACTTCAGCCAATGTTATTCAACACTATTATGGGAAAGGATACCAACATGAAACTACCAGACACAGGGGCTATAAAACCCTGTCCATACAGTCTAGCCGGACAAACAGACACATATGGAACAACCTCAGCGCATGCAAGACATGCAGAAGTATTTTGAAAGTATACAAGCAGTGGCCTGGAGGGTGAGGTAAGGCTTCACGGAAAAGTTGGCACCTGAACAGCCAGAGTTTTGAAAGATGAATAGGCGTCGGACAATCAGACATGGGATCAAAGGGCATTCCGGATTGTGCAAAACACTGGCAGAAACATAACAGACTGAAAACTGTGGGAAGGACGCATTCACCACCAGGGAAGGAAAGCCGGTCTACTGCACTCTTAAACTTTCCAAGAAGAAAAACAAGTTTTCAAATAAGGAGCTGAGGAGGAAAGTTTCACCAGCACTTGTTTTGTTAAGCCTCTTAGCCTTGCTTTGCTTTGTTTCGCTCTTTCTGTTTTGTTCCCTCTCAGAGAAATAAAGCACTCTGCTGGCATAAAACTTCAGTGAGAAAAAGTACTTCAACTTAACTGAGAAAAAGGAAACTGAAAAGCGGACCAGGGCCGAGGAATAAATAAATTAGCAACACTTTTTCTGGATTATCTAAATGGAGCAAAATTTCAAATTCGGTATCATTCATTGCAACTCTTCTCTCCACCAACTCAATACATATTTATTTTCTGCCCACTATTTGTTAGTTTCTGGGATACCAGGCCTCTGAGGCACTCTCATTGCCCTCCTCTTTGAGCAAGCTCCTTGCCTGCAATCTAATAAAAGAAATAGCAGAAGGCAAGTCACTTGTACCCTGTTCCTTCTATGGTTGCCAATCAAAGCTCGAAGCTCAAGCAGAGTTAAATTCCAGTCAAGTTAACCAGCGAAGACAAACACACTTAAACCAACAACCGAGATGTAAGAAACTGACAGAGGTCCTCCATAAGGGTGTTCATCACCTCTTCCTGTGAGCAGGGAGCTGGCGAGCTGGACTTCCTGGCCACTGATTTGGAATGCTGAATGGGGGACAGGGGAGGGACAGAGGGGCTGAGGTTACCTGGGAGCTCAGGTAGACTTTGAGGCACTCCTCGCACACGGCCTTCTTGCAGCAGGGCAAGGGCTTGATGGGCTTGTCTTCCAGGCACACCCGGCACATCAGCACCATGAGGGGCGCATAGGGATCCCCGACCCCACCCAGGCCAGAGTAGGGTGGAGCTCCCAGCAGGCTGGGCACGGAGAACGGCTCGGGCGCCAGGTAGAACTCCAGCTCGATGCTGCCGCCGTCGGGGGACAGGGTGTCCGCTGGGAGCGACAGCCGGGGGCTGGGGAAGGAGGAGGGGGTGCTGGGAGGGTTGGTCACCGGCGGAGCCCGGGGTGGCGACGCGGGCAGCGAGAGCCGCTCCGCCGAGGGGACCTCGGGCAGGTCGTTCTCCACGCAGAACACGGAGCAGAAGACTTGTCTCTTGGCGGGGGGCGGGCGCCGCTGGCCCAGCACGTCCAGGACCAGTCCGTCTGGGGCCCCGACGCGGGTCCGGGGCTCCGGCTGCTCGCCGGGGGGCGCCTCCTGCTGTTCATCCCCTCTCTCGCTTCGGTCCCTCGCTTCCTCCTCCTCCTTTGCCAGCTGCTGTTGCAAAGCCTGGGGGTTGAGGGGCCCGGTGTAGGCCAGTCCTGCGGGTTGCGCCGGTGCCTGGTTCTTCTTCCAGCTTGGGGCCCCCCGGCTTCTCGCGGGCTCCGGGACGCTCGTGTCCGCGCAGCCCGAGTCGCTTCCGCAGCTGTCGCCGCTCGGCTCGGCGGAGGAGGCGCGCGGCCCGGGCGCCCCGGTGCTGTCCCCCGGCGGCCTCGGGGGCTCGGGGTGGCCCGTGGCGCCGCCAGGGGGGGTCCGCGCCTCCAGGGGCCCGCCGCTGCCGCTCACCGTGCTCTGCTCCTCGCCCATAGCCGCCCGCGGCCGAAGCCGCCGCCGCCCATCCAGCCGCCGGGACCCCCACCCGGCGCCGGCGGGCAGCGGGGGCAGCGGCTCGGCTCGACTCGCGGCTCCGCTTCTGCTTCCGGGTCCCTCCTCCGGGGCTGGGACGCCCCGAGCTCCCTCAGGAGAGCCCGTGCTCCCGGGCGGCGGCGCTCGGGGAGCCCGGCCCGGCCCGCTGCTCCTCCTCCTCCTCCTCGTCCTCCTGGTTCTCCCGCGCGGCCGGGCACCGCCTCGGGGGCGCCGAGGGCCGCTCGCTCTGGCCGCCGGCGCGCCCGCCCCACATGCAGGTCGGGGCGGCGCCGCGGCCCCCGGGAGCCCCTGGAGGGACAGAAGGGTCCGGAGGGAGGAGGCCGTCAGTCCCGCGCCATCGCCGGTCCTCGCTGGGGGCCGGGCGGCCGGAGGGCGGTGGTCAAAGGGTCGAGGGGCCTGTGGCGCCGCTGCGGCGCGCACCAGGAGGGGCAGCCGGAGCGCGAGCCAGCCGCCGCGGCCCCTGGGGGAGAGGCCGGAGCGCGCGACCTCCCGCTCCCGCTCCTCGCGCTTCACCTAGCGCCCTCCTCACCGCCCCTCACCCCACCCCTTTGGCACACACCTCCCCACACGTACACACGCGCGCGGTCACCGCGCACTCACTCACGCACACCCCGAGTGGGTGTGATCTCAGACCAGGATGCGCTCTCGCCCCCAGGGTTCACGCTCGGCCTCCACTAAACCCTCCAGAGCCGGCAGGCTGCCCTTCGGGCTACGCTTTGAGCAGAACTTCCTACAAAACTCCTCTTTACTGAAAGCTAGAACTAGAAAACCCTGGCTAGTTAGGATTTTGGTTTCGCTTGTTTCTCTTGCGTTCGTCCAATTTTAAATCCTCCAAAGAGGGAGTTCAGAGAATTAACGCTAGGAATTATTAGTTCAAAATGCTGTGTATACAACTCTCTGCTCTCTGCTTAATGAGGTAGGAAGGATGTTGAAACCCACAAAAGTGCCAAAAAGCACGTTTAACCTACTCCTTTAACTAGAATCCTTATGAGAGCTGGTAAATAATGAATTTAATATTTATCCCCCTTTCCTCCTTTTCGATGTCCTCATAGGAACTTTTTTTTTGTTTTAACCCTTTGAATATTCCAAAATGGGTAGCATTAAGGTAGTAAGATGGTCTGGCCTAATTAATAAACCGGATCGTTGGAAATAATGAAAAGTTTCATTAGCACAACCATATTTATCCCCAAAACCGTTTCCAAGACAACAATTATAGTTGAGCCAGAGCTTAATTATGTGTTGATCTATCTTTATTTTACAGGAAGTATTAGTCACCCAGACTGGTGCATGTTAGTTCCCTAAAGCCAATGAAAACATTTTTGGGAAGCCAACCTTTGTTTTTTTCATCGAGAGGGAATTCAATTTACACATTCATGTAATAGGAAGGAGCTGTGAAGTGTGTAGAAATTTTTATCTTGAAGTTGATATTGGGTTGTTCTAAAATATTTTCCAAATCAGATAACAAATGCCAGAAAGATGACTATGCAGTACGAAGACAGGAGGGTAACACCAAAGAACATGTCCATCATGTATGTCTGATGTTCAGCGGCACCACAAATGGATGAATCTAATCAATTAGTCTAAATGCCCACCTCATTGATCAGTCTGACCCAAGAATGAAGAATTCTTACTTGGAAGATTAAATGCTATTTAGGGATTTTTTTTTTTTCACCTTGGCTAATTGATTTCCTAGTAACGGTTATTTTTTCCCCAAATGATCCTAGTGTTTATTGTTTTAAAGGCAGGGACAAGAGGCCTACATGTTTGTGTCTTTTTTTTTTTTTTTTTTTTGCTGTACGCGGACCTCTCCCCCTTGTGTTTTCTCCCGTTGTGGAGCACAGGCTCTGGACGCACAGGCTCAGCGGCCATGGCTCACGGGCCCAGCCGCTCCATGGCACATGGGATCTTCCCAGACCGGGGCACGAACCCGTGTCCCCTGCATCGGCAGGTGGACTCTCAACCACTGCGCCACCAGGTAAGCCCTGTGTCTTTTTCTGTATACCATCTGTTAACTACTTTTCTATTCTTTCTAAAGGGATATAAAAGTAATCCGTGTTTTCTGGGTGACAACAGTGAGAGTAAGACCAGAGTAACCATAATGGATACAAAAAAGTATATCTCCACAGTGTCTCTAGGAATCAAACCCCTCAAGGTCTTCCCATAGTTTGGGGACTCCCTCCTCCACACATATTTGCCGTAGGTGTTCCAAGAACTTGTTCTTGCAGTGCCCACCATTTTGTTCCTTATCCCTCAGATTTGGTTCACTGAAAGTGGCTTTCCTCGACACTGAATCAAGTCACTGGTGGGATTTTTGAAGGCTGCCCTATAGCTCTGCAGCCCTTCTCCTTACCATGACTTCCTCCCCATGGGATTCATCTGGTGTTTGTGAAAATAGAACCATGGCATGCCATATCTCCAGCCTCCAGACAGACTCAGACTTGCCTCGATCCTGGGCCCAGCACCGCTGGTGTTCAATCTGGGACCCATGGGACACCAGTAACATGGAATTAAAATGCAAAGTTAATATGGTGATCCTACTGTCAATTTCCCCTAAAATGAAACACATGAAGCACCTATGATAGTTGTACTGATAGGATTCATTAAAAAAAAAATTGGTTGAAAATATAGTTACTGTAGCAAAACTTTCACTTATCCGACACAAGCTTAATATTCTCAAAACTCAGACCATCTGCTCCATGTCAGGCTGTATACAGTTGTTAGTACAGTATAAACGCTATCACCAATATTCTGTCACTACCAGTTTCAACTTTCAATGTTTTGTAATTTGCAATGGGCTGTGCACATTCCCTAAAACCAAGACTCGAATACTGAAGACAATGTCAAGTTTGAGAATTGTCATAGTCAATTACTTTTGGTCATTACTGAACGTTATTTTTTCTATTACCAACTTTCCTATCCTGGCGTTTAAGCGTGACTTGTTTTTGCTTCCCTGGAAAATTTTTATTCAGACTTCAATTCGATAATTAAAGAGCCTAGATTTATTAATTTATTAAAAAGTGTTATGAAAACTCAGAAAAGCTGTGAATAATTTTAATTTTACATACTAAAGGTAAAGCGGATTTCTTCATAACTGTTGTGGAGAAAAAATACATAATGTTTAAATACCATGAAATAATTATACAGCAAATACCTGACTTGTTTTCCTATCAGTCCTTCAACTATCAAATATATATGTGTGTGTGTATATATATATATATATATATTTTTTTTAATTCATTTCCTGAAGAGGAATGAAAACAGTGGAATGAATTTCTAGCTCTGCTTCTGAAAGACACAGTGAAATGTTGGTCCTCATTCTCCTATTTTCTCTCCTCTTCACCCATGGAGGGAGAGAACCTGGAATCATTAAGGAAAAGGGGCATTAGTACAACACAATTGTTTTGCTTATTTTTCCACCCAAATTTCCTAAGGAAAATCCAAATGAGATAAGGTTAAAAATAAAATGAAACAGTATATTCCTTCAAATTATAAAATTAAAGCCCAAATGCTTTGAAAACAGAGGAAACCAAGAATAAAAAGGAAGATGAGGAAGGAAAATGAAGACAAATGGAAGGGAGGAAGGGGGAAAAAAAAAAGGAAGCAGAGAAGGAGAGACGGAAGGAGGGAAGGAAGAAAGGAAGGGAGGAACTTTATTATCCACTACCCAAAATAACCACTTAAACTACTTTAACATATTGATAAACTTCATTCTACTGTTTATATCTGTGTGTATAAAAAAAATATCAAATGATATATGCTCCTTTTCCTACATTTTTAAAATTAGTAATATATCCTGACCATTTTTCACACTATTAAGATATCTGTATATCATCATGATTTGTGACAATATAGAACTTTACTATTTAGATGCATCACCATTTATTTAACTAATTCCATTTTATTTAAAAAAAGTAGATTATTTATGATTTTAAGAAAACATACATTTAATATATATGAATATGTATTATAACCTTTGTGTACATTCCTAATATACCATAGCATAAAGTCCTAAAAATTAAATAGCTGCTCAAAAGAGTAGATGTAATTTTGAGGTTTTGGCACACATATCAGAGAAACTTAGCACCAGTTTATAACCCCATTAACAGTGAGGGTATGAGAGAGTCTACATCCCTAATCCTTCTAAGGAGATTTTAAAAAATTAAAAATGCTGTAAATAACATGTTACTTTTAAATTAATGAGCACATTCTTTTAGATAAAAAGGGAAAAATCAAATATTAACTGTCAATTCCCTTTGGATATATATAATTTAGCATCGCATGTTATGGTTCTCTATTCCTGAGGTTATGGTTCTAACAGCTTTCCTTCCTCATCTTTTTAAAAAATTTCCTCATTACCTCTTCTAGTGACAGTAATGCTCTAAAAATACTCGAAGGTAACCTCAGTCATAGGTAATACTTCTAAGTCTATGATACCAATTCCTCATTTCCTAAATACAGGTGCACCTAAATACAGGTGCACTTATTTGAGTGCCCCAGACTCATTCCCAAATGAATACGGTGCCAAGGAAACCCCATCTTTCAGCCCTCACTGTGGAAGCTCTTTGAATTAAGTCAAGAAGAGATCCACTAATAGTGCAAGATCGACTCTTCTTGACCTGAGAAAAGCCCATTCCCTCCTCACAGAAAAAGTCACCTTGGAGTTTAAAGGCAACTTAGAGTTTCTACTATGGTGGCTTTGGTTTACCAGAAAGATGTCAACCCTGGCTCTGCATCTAGAAATCCCTGGTCTCCTCTTCCCAAGGTACAGAGTGACACAAAGAGAGAGATGCATTCTGTTCTCTCTGTTTCCCCGCTTCCCTTTCTGAAAGGGGTGTCAAGTCACAGCCTCCTCCTGACAGGCTTTGTTTATAGCAGGAGTCAGAAAAATTTACAGCCTGGCTCCTCCCTGGCCCTGAGACTGGAATGCCTCGTTGGTTCGGTAAGCAAGAGCAAGATAAATCTCTTCTTATACAACTCTCAGTACCCAGTACCTCCTGGCTGAGTAATTCACAGTAAAGGAAATCATTTTGTCCAAACTAAAGGGTAATCAAACATCAATGTAACAGAACTGAAGATGCACTTTTACAAAATGACACTTTAATTCTGAAAAGAGTAGAGATTTTCTTAGCAAAAGGAAAAGCAAATCTCTTCCAAATTAGGGAAGAAGTAAGAGGCAATTTAGAGAAAATTTATTTAGAACAATGGCAAAGTGCTTACAAAACTATGTTAAATGAAAAAAGACAAGAAAAATCTAATATATATGATTACAGCTGTGTTGGGATGTATATGATAAAATAAGGACAAAAGTAATAGGAGTTATTGTATAAGGGTGATGTGGTTATGATTTTTTTTTCATTTCCTAAAATTTCTAAAATATTATGTTGCTTTTATAATGGACAAAAGAGAAAAACAAGATTTTTTTTTTAAAGAGTGAAACAGTTTCATCCTAATGAACAGGGAAATAGATTTGGTGTTAATAGACGTTATTTGCATGTACACTCGTGATAGTTAAGGTA